ACAATTTAACATGATGTTTGCTCTGTCTCCAAGCACAGTGTTATTAAAGCTTGGAGAGACACAGCTGACAGACATTCCCCCAGGAGAATCTTTACAAAAACTGCTTTGCATTTTAACATCATTGTATGTTCAGAGGGCAACTAAACAGAAGAGAAACAAAACCAAAACCACACCCTACTGTACAAGGGTTAATTTAAACAGAACAGCATCACTTCTAGAAGTTGAGCCCTACTTTAGATAGGTACCTCCCATTTGTATCTTTAGACCCAAATAAGAGAAAGAGAAGCTCCAGTAGTCTGTAAGTAATAACTAATGCTTTCAGTTTACCTGTGTATTTTTCTTATCCATTGCCTGCAAGTGAGGCAGWTACACACTGACTAGATATGCAACTCACCTACACCCTTCTGAAGATCTCTCCTAACATACTTAAATGTGCAAAAAAACCTACAAGTTTACTATTTTAGGTAAATAGTACCTAAAACTTTTACTATAAAAATACTATTAAAGTAGTTTTACTATTTACTATTAAACTAATACTTTACTATTTTAGGTTAATAGTTTACTATTTTAGGTAAATTTTAGTWAAGTCACAGTTAGGGAATGACTGCTACAACTAGTGGGGTGGATCAGAACCAGCATTAAAAAAAAAAAAAAAACCCACACAAGTTCTGTTATACATACCCACAGTGAGGTATGTATAACATACCTCAGATGGTCTTACCTGCAAACACACTACTGCAAATACACTTATCTGCAAATACACTACTAGTGCAAAGCATTGAAGTTTTGAATTTTATAAACGGAGTGAACACTACAGTGTAAATAAAAAGATTGGCTAAAGAGCATTCTGATTTGGGTAGCTTCCTGGTAGGAAAGGCAGATTCCTGTCTGGAATATCCAGCACCAGCCACATTTAGAAATCCTCCTCACTCTCCCACCCCCAGCATATCACAACTTGGTATCTTTTTGCTTCACACTCCCAGGGCATTCCGCAACTCCTACAGAATGCTACACTGCTGAGTAAATAGAACAAGGACTTTGAGGGTACTAGGTATTACCCATCTTCAGCTTGAGACACACCTGCAAGATTCWGCAACCATTACTTGAAGTGAACATCATTCAGGAATTGAAGGAGCAGGCAGGAGTCAAACATAACCCAGCAGGAGCACAGAACAAAACACTAGAATTAATGATTTTAATTGTCTGAATAGAAGAAGGTACTGAACAGTCATTTTAAAGGAAAAAAAATGATAAGTTAATTGAATTTTAACAMGTTCCTGCCACAAACTGTTCTAATATTATTTCTAAAACAAAAAGCCCAGCATCCAATACAAGTAACATGCTTATCACTACACTTTCCCCCTACCCTTGATCGGGGATAACAAATCCCTAAACTTGTGCCAAAACATTAGGGCTAGGGCCTGCCTTCAGAATTCCAGTAACTAAACCCAGACCAAGGCCCAGAGAGCACCTAACACCTCTACATTACCCCCACAGATCCAGGGACCCTGAGGAACACTCACCATAATTCCAACTTCCCCGTCATTCTGGAAGGTTCCCCAACCGCCACCTCACCCTGCACCCGCCCACTGGCTGCACCTCATTGGCTGGTGACTGCTTATCTTCATGCTCATTGGCTGAGGGCAGAGTGGCGGGAAGAGGAAGGCGCTGAGGGTGAGGAAGCRGCGGCCTTGTGAAGCACTGAAGTAGTTGGCGTCCAAGAAGCTACTCCTTGCTCGTTGTGTTTCTTTTTAAATCGTTTCTAAGTGAAAAGTGGGTGGAATTAGCTTCATCCCACTGCTCGCCACCTGCTGAATTGCTTCTAAATCTCCTTTAAAAAAAAAAAAAACAAACAAAAAAAACAAAAAAAAAAAAAAAAAACAAAAACAACAAAAAAAAAAAAACCAAACTGGGAAGTCGTTCCAGAGACAAATGGGGCTAATGAGCATCAGGTGTGCTTGAAGTGCTCCCTAGAGGCTCTGTGTTCCAGGAAGATTTCTGCCTCAGTGGTGCTAGGACAGGTTTTTCCTTGTAGTGGTCTGCTTAATACAGATGGAAAGGAGAGGAGGTGTTTGAGGGAAAGAGGGACTCCTCTTGAGAAGAACCCTGTAAGAAATGGTCTATATCCGTGAGGCTGGTGTCCAGGGCTGGAAGACAGAGGTGAGCTTTTTACCTTACATGGCAAAGGAGAGATATTAATTTAAGTGAGTAGGATTTGATGGTTTGGTAGAATGTGAGTGCCTGCTCTTCTAATGCATGTAACACCAAATAGTCCTGCATTAGCAGGACATTGAGCTTCTGAGGCTCTCAAACCCACGTAGATGTGTAATAACCTTGCTGCTGGTGCTGCTGCATGCGTGGTCGATTCCCAGCTCCACCAGTATGGGGACAAAAAGCTGAAAATGCACCTAATAATAAGTGCTCCCTCTGTGGTARCTCCTCCCGGAGAAATTAAGAGACTTAAGATGTGCCCCTGTCCTGCCTTGCTACCTGCCTTGCCTCCAGTATTCCTTTATATATATATATATTTTTTTTTTTTCCCAATAATAGATTCCCTCCTTGAAGTATTAGAAAATAATTTGCAAAAAGACAGATTAAACAACAAGATTTTCCAAAGACCCGGCATTCCAGGCTTTAAATGCAGGAATATATAATGGGTTTGTGGTTTGGCAGCACAGTATCTATACAAAATTTGTAATGTTAGAAAATAGTAAATGAAAATYTGGTCAGATCTGGTGGGTTAGCTAAGAACTTTTAAATGAACTCACTGTGACTGCTGTGAAAACAATCCCAAACAAAATGATGTGGGTTTCAGGTTATTTCTGTTCTTTGTTTCCTAACAAACAGTCAAGTTCTTAAGGGCCAGCCAGCTTTCAAATGTTACTCCAGTTTAAACAGACACATGGCGCTCAAATTTGATTCACCAAATCAAAGTGAAGATATTCCCACCTTGAATTTATATAACCATGGATTTGGGTAGTGTTAGAAGTCTGAATGCTGGATAAATAAGGTTAAGCCTAACCTGGCTTTACTGACCTTACGATGAGCCCTCGTCCCCGGGGACAGCAGAGTGCTTCACATGTGTAGTATTTTCCAGTATTTTCTGTCTTCTCTTATGCACTTAGATTTTCAAGACAAATTATTTAATTGATTTACTTCAGATAAAAGCCTGTGAGGTAACTAAAATATATTCAGTGGAAATAGGCAGAGACAAGCAKGAAAAAGAAAACCCAATAATTTTATGGTATAAAGCCACCACAAGAATCTCGTTTACAGATAAACCTTCATTGAACAAACTGCATCCTTTTCTGCAAGGAGTTGAAATGAGATAGGGAGTATGCAAAGCACCATGACATTTTCACTGGTAAAATTACTGGTAATTGATTATTCCAAGCAAAGTGTATGTAATGCTGAAGATTTGATAGTGTCTCAGGTATATTTCATTTTCTGGAAGTTGCTTTTTAGTAAAACTAATGTATCTAGTGTTCCAAGAGATGTACTGTAATGTCTTTGAGCACATGTCACAGGTGATACTGTCAGAAGATGCCCAGGGAATATCATTTCAATTTTTCAGATTGTTGTTTTTGGAGGAAAAAGACATGGATGGAAACCAATTTCAGAACTTTCAGTTATCCTTTTTTTTTTTTTTTTTTTTTTTTTTTATTCCCCCTAGTAGTTATACTCACCCACTTCTTTCTCATGTCAATGTACAGTTCTATTTTTCATGAATTATGGCACAGGAATAGTTTCCTCCAACACAAAATACATGTTCAAGAACAGCAGCTGACAGCTAATTAAAAATGCTCGACTTTCTATTGTGTGTTTGCAGAAAACTCGAGCATCGCTACCTTATAAGGCTTGCAGTGTGCCTCACAGTAAGGAAACCAATGGAAAATTCTTACTACATGAGACAGAATTGTGCCAGGTTTGGGGAGACAGTTCTAACTTGAGGCACAGAGGAAAATTTAGAATTGTCGGAACAATTTTGGGAGGTTCCACATTATTACTCATTTCAGTGTGCTTTACTTTTGTTACAAAACTCTGCCAATAAATCTTTGACAGCTAGAATTGTATTTGAATGGCAGTTATCTGCACCAAGACAGATGTTGAAGGCAGATTGTTTACAAGATGGGTTATTTCAAAAAGTCAAGCGACTACCTTCCACGTTGAACTGCCAGGGCCTGAACCACAGACCCAAGTCAGGGTTGACTTACAGCTGAATATGCCTCTGCTTTTGCAGAACTACCCAGAACTCACCTGCAAATTGCTTCTGCTAACCTGTACGTAGGCTCATGAAGTTGTAATCTTTGTGGGCTCTCAGGCAAGTGTTTTAGACCTCGGAGGGAACTTTCCCATCTGAAGCCAGGGCTCTGGCTAGGTCCTGGAGGCTAAGGAAAGTAGGACATACCAGATATTACTGCTAACAAAGAAAATGCAAGTTTTGCCGATTTGGTTTCATAAAAGCTGGACCCTCTTACAGCGACTTTGGAGACCTTGCTTATGGGTGGATGCACCGACCAGGATGCACCACATAATTGCCAGGAAGGCTCTCCAAATCCTYACTGCAACAGGGTCTCCCCAGTGACTGTGAATCTGGATGATGGTAATGTATTTAGGCAATTGGTGATGTATCCTTAATGACTATTCTTTCTTGTATAGTAATGATTATGTGCATTACCTTGCTTATTTGCCCCTAGTTAAAACCTGGCACATAGTAAGCTTATTGTTTCATTAGATATATCATTTCATTTTTCTATTATTTGATATTAGTAGTAAACATGACCATTCTTTCTCTTGGTGTCTGGTTATTTCCGATACTCCCCATCAATTGGCAAAACACACATTGATGTATTTTTGAGGGAAATTATTTTTTCTTTGTGTGCACTCATCTTTTCACTGATTGCCATTAACAACCCAAATTCATTCACAGTAAACAGCAATCTGGAAACACAAAACTCATTGATTGTATGTCTTTTCTGTCAACAGAGCTTCAAAAACAAAATTTTTCTATAGCTCTGAATAAAAACACCCTGCCTGCTGAGAACAGTTGCTGGCTTATGAAGTGACTTACTTGTGAGTACAGTGTTATGTGATGCTGCTGTGATAGAACAGAATTTATGGATTGCTTTGCCAGGATAGTAGCATGGAGTTAAGAGTTGAAAGTAAAGCAGAGGGGGTTAAGCTCTGTCTAGCCCTATAAATCCTAGTTGTCTATTGAATTAAAACCAGAACCGAGRTTTGACCCCCAAGCTAATGATGAAAAACAGTGTTGAAGAACACTGACTGAGAACACAGGTAAATAAATTAGTGGTCCATGCAGTTTTTGTAACAGTTACTCTGAATTGTTAGAAAAGCTGCTTTTCTAAGAATGCATGCAGTGCTGCTTTTATTGAGATTGATGTCTTACGTGTTACTGGATATATATACTTGCTGTCCTTGTGGCAAACCTCGTGGATTAAAAAGTGAAGTCACATAGAGCTACATTGAAGGTCTAGTGATATTTGGAGTAACAAAATGTGTCATCCCGTGTAGCTGACCTGAACTTATGCATATTCCTTCTTCTGTATTTCTATAAAGGAGTGAATTTTCTCCTTTTATCACAGTTCTTGTGTACTTTATCTGTTTAAGTCAAATACACAGAAGTTATGCTTATTGTGGTAAAAGAAGTCTCTGTAATGATGTTTTGTTTTCTTCTCTTATTATGACTTTTTTTCTGCAGTTTTATTTATTTCTGTTTAGAAATTCTTGAAGAATACATTATAATAGTAAAGGTTATTTAAAAGTGATTTTTTTTTTTTTTTGTTTAACCTAGGAATTGTCTATTAATGGAGTATAAACTACAAATAGTTTTTCATTTACAGTTTTTAGCATGGTGGGGTTTGGTTATAATTTCAATGCATAAGCATTCCTAGATTGTGAATGATAGCGGTTGATGGCAGCAATATGGGAGACTGCACCAATGAGCATCAAATATTTGTCATTGGCATCACCAATACGAGGATTGTTTATTCTGAGTTATAATCTGTTGTCATATAGATCTTTCTTTCATCATAGAGACTTGCTTGTTCTTTCTTATCATACAAATATTCCTTAATAAAGAAGATGAAATGAAAAGCTTTGTACATCAGTGATACTGTTCTTCAGTCACTTTCCAAAGTGCTCCCAGCAAAGCTAAGGTGGCCAGCCTGAGGCTAGAGCTCTTGTGCATTTCTGATTTGCTCCTCTGATTTTTTTTCTGTGATATTAAATATTTGGCCTGTAATAGGATAGGTTTTTGGAGTGGGGATGATATCAAATCCCAGACAGACAGATAAGTTATTACTTCATTCATTGTGAAACCAGCAGGAGGTGAAGTTCAGTTTAAGTGCTTGTGAAATAATTTAAAAACTGTAATGAAAGTAAAGGAACTAAACCAAATATTAAAATAAAAAAAGGAAAGAAGAATTTGTGTTCAAGTTATGTTTAGGTTTTGGCAATCCAGGAAAAAAAAAAGCCTGTCATAATAAATGCTTTAAAAAAAAAAAAACGCCAGTGTGTGAAGTGTTAACAGAGCACTGGATTGAATTAATTTACATATTCCCTTGCTCTTACATAGCTTTACCTTTTTTGCTTTTCAGGTAGTTTTAGCAAAATTAACTGCAGTTTTGTTAAACAGGATGACTTATGAGATAACTAATAACACATCTCAGAACAGAAAATTATGATACCAAGAATGGTCACCTCTTGCAAACCACCAAAAATATTTTTAGGAGACTCACTTTGGGAGGTCAGAGAAAAGAAGGGAGGGTGTTGAAGTTGTCACAATCAGTACAGTGGATTTGGTAACTACATTTGTTGACTAAACTATATTGTGCTCTGTTGTTGCTTGTGTCTGAGGATATGCACAGACACCGTAAGAGACACTGGTTAAAGCACTGAATCCGAAGTCAGAGAATTCTTTTCTTAGATCTGTAGCCATTCATCTGAACTTGTTCCCTTAGACTGTCTATTGCAAATAAAGGTTTGCCCTGAGGATGTTAGAGGGTATAAATTACTGTTATGGCTCCAAAAAAGTGAAAGAGTATTTTTGTGGAAAAAATAAAAAAGACTTTTTATTTTAAAGGTTTGAAATGCACTTATATGGGTGAAGTTTTTTTTTCCCTTTCATTTGCCATAAATTGTTAGTTATATGAAAATACATTCAGAAGTGAGAAGTGTTTCAAAACAGTTTGGGATTTTTTTTCTGATTAATATCAGAATACAGTTGCCCAGCTGTCCTAGGAAGATGTATTAGAAGTTGGAAGTCTCATTTGACTCTCAGTTCTTATTTTTATATATCTGAAATATAAAAAGCTGAAATATAAAGAGCAACAGGGTTGCTCCTTTCAAAGAGTGTTATCAAATAATCTCATTARCTAGGTAAAATTTATTTACTTCTGTTATGCAAGAGATTTATCTGCAGAGTATGTCCCAAAATTGTAAACAGACAAGAAGATGGTAGTCATCAGAAGACTAAGCTGGGTGGTAATGGCAAAGAGATCCAAGTGATATACATGCCTGTAGGCTGTGCAATGCAAGAGAAATGACCAAATGCATTATCTACATGCTGCCAGCAGGTGTGTCACTTTACTGTCTGTCTACTCATTTCAGAGCAAATCATCCTGGCTCAAAATCCGATGATCAAAACATCCGTAAGCAAAATGCATCGCTTGTGCCCTTCACCCAGCCCATCGGAAGCCTTATCTCAAGCTGAGGCCAATGCTTTATGAAAGCTTAATAGTAAACTTCTGAGATTTTTGCAGTCTTTTAGTTATATTTTTCAATTTCAAGTCCTACATATAGTGATTTATGAGTGTATTTAGTCCTCCCCCTCAGTATGAGGGTTTGGTTTCAGTCCAGCTCACATTTTTAAATCATTTTAGGCTAGAACAGCATTTAGATTAAAAAAAAAAAAAAAAAAAAATTGCAGGGTGACTCAGCAGAATTTAGCCGAATAAAATCTGATTTCAGAGAATTCTAGATGAATCTTGCAATATGGTTAGATGGTAGAAGAATTTTGGAATTGATTAACGTAGAAGAAAGAATACACAGGGAACAACTTTTACCTGTATGTAATCATTTTTTCTTTATTAGTTACTAACATTCAGGAGAAAGATCCTGAGGTTGCCAGGAATACTGCTTTCCATTTCAGCTATGCTCAGGCTATGTGAGAAAGGCAAATGGAAAGTGGGAGAATTCTTAAGAGCAGAAGAGAGGCCAAAATACACAGGGGCATAATTTTATTTTCTGTAAATCTGTCTTTTGTAGTAGGATTCTAAACATCAGATTTAAAATCCACTCATGCTACTGGCTGTAATCTGGTGAAGGAGCTGATGACTAAGATCATTTTTCAGTGTGCCTGGAAAACTTATACCTGTTGCTGAGTTTCTTTATTGTTGGGGAGATGCTGCTTTCTGCAGGATGGTGGGGAATGTTTACTTGTGGGAATCTCTTTGGTGCAGTTCTATTTACAAGAGTGGTTTTGACCCATGCTCATTGCTGTCAAGTGTGTCTTCTCATCTCACTCTATGGTTTTTGATTTATAGACTTACAAGTTGCAAGCAAGTTTCAGAATGGTTAAGATGAAGCGACTTCATAATGTGCACTAAAACTTGTTTTAGGATGTTATCTTATCAAGCAATCTGTATCTTTTYGTCTAAGCCTTGAAGGCTCTGAAATAGTGACTTTGAAAATAGAAGTGGGGGGGGAAAGGCTATAGCCTATGTGCAGTGAAGGTAAGCAAACCAACACAGCCTTCCTGCACTCGATGACCCTGTACTTGTTTGAGGGAGAGGAGTGAAAAATTTTCCTCTCCTGCTTGGTATGACCTCACCTTGGAGTTACAGTCCTATGCCTGTGGGCAGTGCAGAGCCTGGGGAGCTCACACCGAGTCTTACTTGTGAAAGAGGAAGCAACTCCCTGATTTGAAGCTACAAGGATCTGAAAAGCATCCCTGGGCAGGAGCTGCAGTAGCTTTTCACTTAAATGAAGCCTCCAAAGGCTTTGCAAAGGTGAGCATGATCCTACCCGGCTTTACTCTCTTGTGACAGTAGAGGGCGGTGTTGTCTTAAAAATTTAGACCTTGCATCYATCAATGCCTTTTTTGTACAAATTGCTGCAGAGAGAATGAAGGTTTTTATCTTTAGAAACATATAGGATCAAATGTCTGTATTATTCTTTGTAAGTGTTATCTTTGTTAAGGATACTTGTGGTAACTATCAGGTTTTACACCACACAGAAACATTTTTCTATATTTAGTGAAAATTACTGAAGTAAAACCACTATAATACCGTTGAAGCAAATAATAAAATCATTAGTGTAAGAATCTTAAAAAATCTGCTATAGGTGGGTCATACCCAAGAAGTAATTTAAATCAATGTTTTTAAGACTTAGAGAAAAAAAAAAATCATGAACTGATAATTACTGTTTGGTTTGTTACGTGAAAAATAGTAAATATATTCTAAAAGTGTTTTGTAAAAATTTCCATATCGAAGTTATCTGGCCTTCATCTGTATACATGGAGATGGTTGACTGCCAATTGAGGCACTAATCCAGCATTTAGTATTCAGGTGTTTAGTTCTGTTTACACAGACTATTCTTATGGATACRAACAATTGGCATGAGTAAAAGCTAAAACATTAATGCTTAAGTTACACCCCCGCAATCACACCCGTGCACACAAAAATACAGAAGACTGAGTAAACATCATGGTTGTATTTGTGAATATTTTTGTGTGCGTTTTTTATTATTTTTTTCTTATGTCTTTAACACATTCCTTTTATTTTGCATATCACTTTGTATTCCTGACATGTCAGCTTGTGACTAGTGCACTAAAACATTTGGCCACTGTGAAGGAGAATGACTGAAGTATTGCAGATGGCCTGCTTTGATAAACTTCTCCGTGAATTAATTTGTTGCAAATGCCCTTAGACTTCCAATTGTGTTTTCCTCTCACAGTCCTGTGATAGTTCCCTATGGCTCCGGGATGGAACAATCCTGGGCAGTAAAGAGATTGAGATAATGACAGTCCATGGTGACAGCAGGGCTGGCAGAGCCAGCCTGAGGGAAGAAAGACACATACTTGCCAATAGAAATACCTCCATCCTTTGGGAATTGTAGCTTGGAAATCAAAGCTGACCTCATAGACAAGAATGATGGAGAACAAGCTTTTGATTTATGACTAGATGAAGCTCAAAGTCTGCCCTTCTGATCCTTCTTTACAACACACCTTTTGTATTTTATATGAGCTCTTTCACTTTATTCTCGGAATGTTATCTTCTGGGGTATCATCTTCAGGTCTTTCAGTTTCATAATAGTTCAGTCATCTCCTTCCTAACATTTTTTTTAAATGAAACTAAAATCCCTTTTTAGTATCACAAATAAACTAGCCATTTATATTTTACATGACTGAGTAGCTGCTTTGCTTTTTGTTTGTTTTCTGTGTTCTCCTGAAAGCTAATTTGCTTTCCAGACTATCTGCTCATCTAGGGAGTCCCATTTGCACTCATTGGTCCTCGATTGCCTCAAGTGCTTATTTGCACTTGAATATGAAACTGTGGAATTTTTGTGCCTAGTGACAATACTGAAATTTATGGTCCAGATCCTTAGTACGGTGTTGATCTCAGCTGAGTTCAGTGAAGCCATGCTGCATTTCAGCACTAATTTCCAGTTAACACAGCTTTGATAGTGATTAGATTAATACATCATTTTGCTAGGAAGTGTATTATCTACTATGTGGTCACACTGTTTTGTGAATCTTAACCGAAATCTTGAACTCTTTGAAGTCATTAAAAATATAAAGCTGAGTCTGAATCTTCTTAGTTTGTTCTTGCCTGGGTTATTCAGTGTTCGTATTTTCTTAATCTTTGCTCTGTCCTCTGTGAGAAACAATAGAAAGGACATAAAAAGTATTTACAGTGGTGCCAGTTATAAATGGGAAAAACTGTGACAGCAGAAGATCAAGCACAGATTTCTAAAAAGGAATGTTTCTGTGCATCAGCACCGTTGTATCTGTGTTTAGGGTGCTTGTATTTCCATATGTCTGTCTGTCAGTCTGTCATCTGCCTGCCTGTCTTCCTGACTTATATTRCTGTAGATAAATATGCTGCATTGGTGATTAAAAGGAAGTGACCTCATAAGTTTGTCTTTTCAACCACAAAGGTTTGGTTGTAACGTGACATTCCATCCGATTACTCTGGTTTACACCAAATTCAACAGCTTGTGGCCTGCAGATACTCAGTATAAAGAGCAGAAAGAGACTGACCTTGACAACCTCATTTCTCATTCCTTTCTTGTTATAGGTAATATAGCTGAAAATGTGGTTTTAATTATAGTACTAATGAAAACTGAAAATCCAGACAGACACTTGACAAACTCTGGTAAGCTTTATATTACATTTGTGCTAACTACAAAGTATCCAGCTGGGTGTAACATTATATCTCTTTTCCTTGAGCATCCGCCTGACTTAAGCTGTATAATTAATGTGTACTTTGGCTGGAGGTCAGCTTACAGTTGGTTTTTTAGAATTTTTACATTTTTTAAGATGTTGTAATGAAACGAATATGTTTATTACCTCTGTGCCTGCATTCTCCAGGGGGACTTAATACCTGTGGAGGAGCATTGCCTGGAAGAGCTTGAATAAAATGCTGCAGCCAGCTGAATCTGAAGCATCAGAGGTCTGTTTTCAAAAGTAAGTGTAAGAAATAGAATCAAAGAATGTGATCTCCACAGATGTGTTTAACTTTGATACAGCTCTTTCATATGACTTGTTCGTTTTAAGTTATGACACTGATACACGGTTGCCTAGACTAGAGAWTGTGAAGGAATTTCTATTACTTCTTTTCTTTTTCTCTTTGGGAAGGACTTTGTTTTCAGAACTAATCAATGAGAAACTGATGTTCTCAAGTAGAGCCAAAAGCACTAAAAGCAGGTTCCCTGAGAAGCCCCACCAGTGCACCTTCATCCTGACCTGTCTTAACTGTGGTATTCCAGCTGAGCATCCCTCTAGTATGTGTATGTAATAGTGCTAAATTAAGTAGTGGTTTCCATGATATGGACAAATGCTCTCTTGGGACCAGATTGAAATTAGCTTTGATGCTATTTTATTGTGACATAAGGCAAAGTTGAAAGCAAATGATAAAAATCCAAAGACTTGTGCTACATGGCTGTTCTCAAGGATCTACTCTGGAATCTTTTTTTTTTTTTTTTTTTTTTTTTAAACAAAAATATTTGTTTGATTCCTATGCCAAACATTTAAAAAACATTTCTGACATGAAAGGAAATAGCTGTAGTACAGCCACATTCGCAGTGGGGGCTTCAAGGTGTTACTCTTAAAAACAAATACGTAATGATTTTTAAATGACCTTTTCTGGCGTATTTATATGGCTATTAATGTAGTTTGATAAATTGTGCAAATGTCCAAGGAGTCTATCTGCACAAACTATCTACAGCTGCCTTAAAATTTGCTTGTTGATAGAGAATTTGATTTTTCTGTAGCAGCATCAAACTTTCTGCTTTTCACTTTGTGATTGTAAAGCCAAACAGATACAAACACCCAAACACTTCTGAAAAAATATTCATGAACAGTTTTGTTAATGTTTACCTCACTTTTGAAAAAGAAACTGATTGCATTTTTTCAGAAGTTTACCCCAAAAATAGTGGTTCTAATAGTTTATGGATTTTAAGTATTTCCTTTCTAAAAATGCCTCATAGTACAGCTCATTAAGTCCTCTGTATTGCTCTGGAAAATACTTTGGAATATATGATGGCAAGGTGATGCTTTTTCCTTTGTTCAAAGCACAGAGAGATTTTTGGAAGTAACCTATGTATTTATTTGTGTTTTGGTAGGATTTAAAAGCCTTGCCCACATCCAGGCCTTGTAGGACCAAATGCTTCGCTGACGTATGCAGTAAGAGCTTGCCTTTGTTCCAGGGGGCTGCAATCTAAACAGATAGGGCAGACAAATCCCAGCCCCCGTTTCTACTGCCATGTCTTAACTGGTTTTCATAGCATCTCATGAGTGTCCGTTTGGCACGAGGAAGATGCAGCGGCATCAATTAAAGGCATTTCCCATCTCAAGGAGGAATTAACACCTAGTCTCCAGTTAGTAAACAGTTCAAAAAATGAATTAAACCAGATGTTGCTGAGCTCTTGATATTGACACATATGGAAGTGCAACCTTTAAAGAGTCCCTCCTGCGGCCCCTCTAGTTGTATTAAGATCTTATTTCCATCCTATAAACATTTAGCAGAGTGATTAAGTAGAAGTACCCAATTCMTATTGCATGTTGTTCAGAGAATTGTTCTTAGTTGAGCTGTTTCTTGTGTGAAAATGTGCTGAGTGGATAATTAATATCTTTTTTAAAAATTCCATTAATACTTRCTAAAGAGACTTAGAGGATATAAGTGCCTGAAAGCTGCTTGAACTTCATATTGAAGTTATTGCTGTTTAATTACTCAATAATTTAGGCTGTATTTTTTATTCATCATATCTCTTCAGTTGAATAGTCTCATTACCTTAGTAGAACTACTGTAGCTGTTACCTATCTCTGATTTTATTTGCATTATCTAATATTTTCAGCACATGATTTGGAATCCAGAGATGAATGCTGAGGCACAAATTCTCCATTTGGCATCAAATGCTAAGCACAGGCATGAAAATAAATTCCTCTATAGAACAGAGGGATATGTGCTAGATAATACAGAATAAGTTTAGTATGAATGTCAAGGATTAAAAAAAAGGTGTATTAAAAACAAAAGCTATTTTTATAACAAAATAAAAGAAGACTTTTTATGTGTGAGTATGGGGTTATTTGTATTCTGAGAGAAGGCAGAAGCAGAAATAGGTTATGCACTTTTGACTGGGGGTGGTGAGACGGGAGCCTCATAAGGAGTTAACAGGTCAAGACTGAGTCCAGTTGGGTTTGAATGAGGGCAAAAGGCTGCCCTGGGACTGTGCTCTTGCGTCTAACCCCAGAATAGTCTCTGTGCTGGTAGCACTAGGGGAAGGAGGGAGTTACCACTTTCTTAGCATCTCTGCCAGGAAGTTTGGGTGCGTAAGTGATAAATTGTCAGCAATGTGTGTGATGCTGTGTGGTCTTGGTGTGGAATTCAGTCAAGTAGTTAAAAGGAAGAATAGCTAAGATGTGGAACCTCTTGCCATGAGATGTAATGGATTCTTTAAATCCATTACTGAATATTTGGGTTGTATATTGTCAGGCAAACGTAAGCTAATGAGCTGGATGCTATCTGGGTCTCAGAGACACAGCCTTCATGGTAGAATTAAGAGCATCTTCCTGCCCTGCTGTAAATAATAGGAAAAACATTTCTCACTGTCATAGTTAGTTGGATTCCTGTACTGAGTCTGGGGACTCTCGCGTTAAATGTGTGTGTTCTGTGCCAGCTGTGGGGCTGGCTTCTGTAGCAGCAGGTAATGAGATTTYGCTGGTAGCTCTTTGAACTCTCTCTTTCATCTTCATCTCCTTTTGGGAGCAGCATGGAAATGGATGTAGGGTTTGCACAGAATTTCTTAGGATTAAGTGGAAATATTTTATTCCAGTGCAAGAGATTAATCGGAGCTCAGTAATCAAAAGTGACCTGCATTTGGCCTTTTCTGTGTCAGTGTACAATAAGACTATTCTCATAACATGAATAGAATATTKAAACATTTTTGTTTGCTCATACGTAGCCATATTATACCTGCSATGTGCTGTGTATGTTTTGTTCCTATAAATTGTTTCCTAGAAAAACCTCCAAATACACACAGAACAAGGTTGTTGAGGGTCACCATGAGAGCACCTTGCACAGTGTCTTTCATTATAAGTTTTGGTTTGTTGATGTTCATGCCTTTGATTTAGGTTGTGTGGCAAATTTACGGGATAGGTTTCTCAGAGTGGTGGTTTTTATCATATAACATTTCAGAGGAATGGATGGAAGGATGTTTTAGAGAGTTTGCTCTAAAACAACTGGAATAATTTAGAGGGAAAAAAAAAGTTAGATCTGTCCAGAATAAAAACATGTATCTACGTGCCCTATTTTACTCTATTGGAGCTATTGTTCTCTAGGAAATGAGTTGTATCTGAGTGCGTTTCTGAATATTTTGTATGTAAACTTCTGATTTACTTGAACTTACAGATTTGTAGATATTTATATATTTTAAAGCTTGTCTGATGTGTGTTTTTTATTATTCAAGATTTATTTTGTCTGTAAGGGGTGCATGAATTTACTGATAGTTTGCTATGTGTATAAGCTCTTAACTAAAGTGCTGTAGATAGTCAGGTTTCTGACTGGCAGATGCAGTCAGGTGCTTCGCTCTGTAACTGACAGTAGTTTCATTCTCAAATAACACTCTCCGCCAAACTTAATCTGCAGATACTATCAGCTACTCAAGAGTGGACTCAAAGAGCAAAGGCCAGCTGCCGTTCCAGTTAAATCAGCCTGCAAAGTCTCACACAGGCCCCAGCGTTCTTGTCCATGTGGCTAAAGAGGTTAAAAAATTACTGTTATCCCCCTAATTATTTGCGCTGGCTACAGGCTGCATGATGCGGAGAGGGGAAACATCAGTGCTTGCACTAAAGAGTTCTTAGTTTAGTTTGCAAGGACTGTCTGAKAGTCTAATATTTTATACTATAATCCATATCAGTTTGAAAACAGTTTTTTCTCTCAGTCCAATTTTAACAGATTCGTGTGTGTTCTGTATAAATTCATGTAATTTATAGTCACACGCTCCTTGAGAAAGGAGCACTTGAGCAGGAAAGACGACATACATCTATTTCTTCAGCTCTAACTTTGGAGGACAGAAGCATAATGTTTCTGAAATATATCCTTGTTTAAAAAAAAAAAAAAAAAAAAAAACCAAACAAAAAAAGGCATAAACTTGTATATTTCCTGATTTGGCCCTTTTAGGTTGTGGAGCTGGAAGACATTATCATTCTCAGCACACTAATCTTGAATGTACAGTCGTGAGCAGTAGATTTTTGGATAGGATTTGACACTGAACACTAACCATGGTTTTAATGGTTTTATAATATGTTAYAGAACTAATTAGACCTCAGAATTAGGAAAAAGCAGTACATGATTGTGATGAAGGCAGTGTCCTGGAAAATCTAAATCACATAAAATTTCTCAGATCTGTTTTTTCAACTGTGAAATGTAGAGAAAAATATTTCCTTTCTTCGATCGTTTGCTTGTAAGCTTTCATTTACTCTACAAACATTTGGGGTAACTGCTGTTGTTTGGTGTGTGTTTGCACCGTGTCCAGTTTCACTTGGGGACTTCTAAAAATCAGCAATACTGCATGCAGATTTCAGGCATTAATGATATGAAGCAAATACATTGCTGCCTTTCCTATAGCACAATAAGCAATTTGCTTTTGAAAGCAAAGCAATTTATACTTTTACCAAGCAGTACTTCTAGTAGTAATAGCAGACAGTTCAGCAGCAATCCTGGGCAGTATGTGTTCTGCATGGTGACAATGTACTTTCTCATACTTTGAATTATGATACACGTGGTGGCCTCCAAGTTACGTGTGGAATGAGTGTCGTGCTGGCTGATGGGCCATTTTGTACCTTGGATGCAGRGCTTTTATGATGGCCAATACTCTGAAACTTGTTCAGGCAATAAATTTACTTGCCTTTGAGTTTACAAGGCAATAAACAGTTGAGGCCTTTGACCTCAACATTTACCAAATACA